ACGTCAGCTTTCCTGCTCCTCTGATGCTGCTTGGCCTGCTGTGTTCATCCAGCTCTACACCTTGTTATCGCTGGAAGAATGGAGTTGGGGTAGAGGGGAGAGATGGGGTGAAGGTGGAGGGTCTCTGAGGATCAGAGTTCAGTCAAGGCTGATGTTGGCTGGGAATTGGGGTTGGGTGCTATTCAGCAGAGTTGGGTGCAGCTAGAGAAAGAAAGGGAAGGGGTGGCAGTGAGAGTGACCCTGAGGGAGACGTCAGTAAAGGGAATGGATAGATGAAGCCAGAGGTAAATAGAAGTTAGACAGTGACAGTAGGAGAGTAGAGCAGCTACGTGCCATACTGAGGGAGTGCGGCATTGCCAGAGGAAGCTCAGCCGCACTAACATGGCACTGTCACTCCCTTGGGTGGACGTGTAGGATTTCATTTGGGGGACCCCCTGCTCCATGTATTTATATCCCCCAGTCGAAAACTACAAAACGGAGCAGAATTGTATTGCTGTTTGTGGGATCTTCCTGTGCCACTTCCCGTTCCATTCTAGAGTGAGAGCACGTTCAGTAGTGACTAGGGACATCCTGAGGTGGTGAAGATGACTAAGTAGATGCAGCGCTTTCTTTAACTGGGGGTGCCACCCCTGCCCCCATCACGTCCGCCCAGTCTGACCCCTCACTGTCTCCCCCTTGTCTGTCCCTTCACTGTCTCTCCCTATCTGCACACTCACTATCTGCCCTCACACTGTCTGTGCCCACATTCTGCTCCCTCCCTCTGTCTATGCCCACAGTCTGCCCTCACCCTGTCTGTGCCCACAGACTGCTCTCTCCCTCTGTCTGTGCCCACAGTCAGCTCTCTCCCTCTGTCTGTGCCCATAGTCTGCTCTCTCTCTCTCTGTGCTCACAGTCTGCTCTCTCCCTCTGTCTGTGCCCACAGTCAGCTCTCTCCCTCTGTCTGTGCCCATAGTCTGCTCTCTCTCTCTCTGTGCTCACAGTCTGCTCTCTCCCTCTGTCTGTGCCCACAGTCTGCTCTCTCCCCCTGTCTGTGCCCACAGTCTACTCCCTCCCCCCGTCTGCACCCACAATCTGCCCTGTCCCCCCCGTCTGTGCCCACAGTCTGCCCTATCCCCCCCTCTGTGCCCACAGTCTGCCCTGTCCCCCCCCATATGTGCCCATAGTCTGCCCTATCCCCCTGTCCTGTCCTTGCTTGCTCAGATGAGCATATCTTGGCACCAACAAAGTGGTCCGAGCCTGCTCCTTCCCACAGTCCCACCTAGTTACACAATATTTACACACTTAGAGACAACAGCAAGTTAGGAAATGACCTAATGCTCCAACAATTGCTGGCTACATAACTGACCGAGGAAATATGTTCCGTTTTGTGAAGAGATTAGAGAAGTTGGCATTGCTCTCCTTAGATCAGAGAAGGTTTGGAGGAGATGGAATCGAAGTTCTCAGACAAGAGTTGTTTTTTTTAACAATTCCATATAAACACTGTACCTACCTCAGCTGCTGTAATTGGATCATGGCTTTGGGAAACAAGTTATTGTGCACTCTTGACTTTTCCATCAGTCCTGCCAGAATAGTTTGCCAAAACAGAGTCTGAACAGGAGAGGGAGTCAGGCGGGTTGTGTATGGAGACAAGCCAATGCAGCTTGATTGGGAGTAAATGGATTCAGGATATTATAATGCAATGACAGCATGCAAATGGAGCCTTAAACCACCAGCAACTGGCTGTGATTGTCTCTTAGACGGCTGGACTATGGGAATGGGATTACTGTCTACAAGTTCCCTGGAGACAGCGAATGTTTTATACATTATCATCTGGAGCCTCTAAAGTCTTTGTTAAGAAGATAGAACTGGAATTGGCTATTTGAGTCTGCTCTGATATACAGTAATGTGACAGCTAATGGCTACTTCAGCTACTGTGTACCACTCTAGCCCCCTTCCTTTGCCCCTTCTCCCTCAATTCCCTTAGTATCTGGACATCTGCAACATCAATCTTGAGTATATACAGTGATGGGACCTCCACTAATGTAGAGCGTTCTGAATCACACAATTGTTACAACTCAGGCCAGTCAACCCATTGTGCCAGCACCTTACACTGGGCCTTGTAGTGCTTTAGCAAAACCCTCCCCATTTTTACACCCCATTCCCTTTGAAATAAAGATCACTTTGACAGTTCACTCAATCTGTCAGTAATCCCGCTGCAGATTCGGTCAACCTCACCACTTGCCTTCCCACCTATTTTTGTATCATCTCAAACTCCGCCATACTTCATTCGCTTTCCTCATCCAAGTCACTACTGTATATTGTAATTAATGTACAGTACCTTATCAAATGGCTTCTGGAAATCCAAATATATTATATCCACTGCTTCCCCTTTATCCATGCTGCTTGTTGTCTCCTCAAAAAGAATACAAATAGATGTGTCAGCCATGCAACCAGTCACTCTGCTTGATCATATTATTTCTCAGCACTCTGCTACTACAACCTTGTTAATAAATTCTAACATTTTACTAA